AGAGGGAGGAAAAGGGGGGAAAAGGGGGAGAGGGGGGAGAGGGGAGAAGAGAAAGTAATAATTTAGCTGAGTTGTGGGAGCTCAGGAGAGGAATCGGTCAATGCGGGGTTCAGTCAAACTTCTGTCGACGCTGCAGGTTCGCTTCAGGGTCAGAGAGCCAAACACACACACACACACACACACACACACACACACACGCACGCACACACACACACACACACACACACACACACACACACACACACACACACACACACACACACACAGAGTTACTATTTAATCCTGCACACACTTTCTCTCCTATAGTCAGAAACACACACATACCTGTCTCGATAAATACAGCTGCTTAGTCAGTCACTTTTTAAAGCACTGGGTATCCACTTAGTGTCATTTATGAACGTGCAGATTTGTCAGATTGACTTTGTGAATTTCATTATTTTGCATTACATTTTATTTACACGTTCGACCATCATTCATTTTGGAAACAAGAATAAAAGACACAATCCTGGGCACAAATTTGGGAATCACCTCAGTTTGGGAGGACTATTTTTTGTAAGGAAGTACAGGCTTAAAGAGGCCATATTCTGTATATCAGTATGTAGTGTCTCTACTTTAAAGAGTCCTCTCCTGCTGATGTTCAGGTGTATACAGTATCAGTATGTAGTGTCTCTACTTTAAAGAGTCCTGTCCTGCTGATGTTCAGGTGTATATCAGTATGTAGTGTATTTACTTTAAAGAGTCCTCTCCCGCTGATGTTCAGGTGTATATCTGTATGTAGTGTCTCTACTTTAAAGAGTGCTCTCCTGCTGATGTTCAGGTGTATATCAGTATGTAGTGTCTCTACTTTAAAGAGTCCTTTCCTGCTGATGTTCAGGTGTATATCAGTATGTAGTGTCTCTACTTTAAAAAGTCCTCTCCTGCTGATGTTCAGGTGCATATCAGTATGTAGTGTCTCTACTTTAAAGAGTCCTCTCCTGCTGATGTTCAGGTGTATATCAGTATGTAGTGTCTCTACTTTAAAGAGTCCTCTCCTGCTGATGTTCAGGTGTATATCAGTATGTAGTGTCTCTACTTTAAAGAGTCCTCTCCTGCTGATGTTCAGGTGTATATCAGTATGTAGAGTCTCTACTTTAAAGAGTCCTCTCCTGCTGATGTTCAGGTGTATATCAGTATGTAGTGTCTCTACTTTAAAGAGTCCTCTCCTGCTGATGTTCAGGTGTATATCAGTATGTAGTGTCTCTACTTTAAAGAGTCCTCTCCTGCTGATGTTCAGGTGTATATCAGTATGTAGTGTCTCTACTTTAAAGAGTCCTCTCCTGCTGATGTTCAGGTGTATATCAGTATGTAGTGTCTCTACTTTAAAGAGTCCTCTCCTTGTTACTAAAATAATCACTCAGCACAGATGACAAATGTAGGTTTATTGATAATGCAGGGCACACAGTATTGCTTTTTGTAGATATTGAAGATAAATACATGTCATGTTTTGGAATACATTCAGTCTGTTTCTCCCAGAATACATTTCAATGTCATCAACACTGTCAGTCACGTTAAACACAACAACATCCAAATAACACAAGTGTATATGCTATTGTTTAGTGCAGTTTTATGGCAGCAAGTGTGTTTAAACCTGTAAAATAGTGCAGCGTACAACCAGAGTGAAGCATAAAGAGATCAAACAAATATATGTCTTGATTGTAAGGAATTAAAACAACCTTAAGATGAGCAAACATGCATTTTTGCACATACACAACAGCATTTCAAGGTTTCTGTAGCCATGGGAAACCTATATTTTTCCTTCTTCATAAAGGAATAGTTTGACATTTTGTTAAATGAAGTGCTTGAACTTAATATTTTATGTAACGTCAACGTTGTATCTGTGTTTCAGCGACAGACACAGCTAATTTTAACGACCTTTTTTTAGTTGGATGCTGATTTAAACAACAAAAAGTGATACAAGCTTCATAAAGGCAACTGGAGGTGAAAGATAATGACATGAAAACCTCATTTTGGTTATTTATGGTCTGTTTAAAGTCATGCTGAGGCACATGTTAGTGTATGTCAATGCAGCAAAGCGAAAGGCGAAAGGCACGTTGCATTCACTGACAGGAAACACTTCATGAAGGCATCTTGAATTAGTAATAAAATAATGTCAGCAGGATTGTCAAATAAATGTTTGTTCAGTGTTCAGACTCTTTAAAGCTCTTTCCGAATATATGTAACGCTATTTCAAGATACTAACACAAGTAATACACTTCAATACAATCACAATCCGTCCAGAAAACATCCTGATATGACTCTAGATAAAATAATCGTGTCTTTTCTTAACATTTAAGTGTTAAAGGAAGAAAGAAGGAGGAAATGACACCTTTTCAGCAGGATCAAATCAATAGGTGATCATTTGAAATTCAAGGTATTTTTTCTTCAATGAAAACAGCTGAACACCAATTTTGCGTTAACATACGTCAAACTATGCAATGTAGTGACACTTAATCCCTGATAAATAATCATAAAGCACTTGATTCTTGATTTTTAGTGTTCTGCAAATGATAAAAATGCACTTTAATGTGTAATTATGTGTCTCTACTTCCTCAGAAACCATTCGTTTTTTCATCAAGTGTGTGCAAAAAGCCCTTTAACTTAAGTTTGCTCTGATGAGTCTCCACATTACCTCCTAGCTGAATGCTTGGTTTCTGAATAAGCAACTGTGTAATCGAACCTCTGCAGCAAACATCCCAACATGCATGAGTTTATGGGAACAAATGTTGACATGTGATAGCGAGAAAGAGCAGAATGGACTGGATTCTGGAGTAAAAAAAAGTCAAATTCAGGCGTGTTTTAATGTGTAGATAAGTGATTTTCAAAGGTTAATTAGAGTGATATACGCTGAGGTCGGAGCTGGCAGGAGGAGAAGTGACTTCGTCCAATGAGAGAGCGGCTTTAGGTCCGTGTGACGTTTGTTTACGAGGCTCCGTCCACTCGTAACGGGACGAAGTCAACTTTTCCACCCTGGAGCCAACCAAAGCAAACCTTAACAGACCTTCAGACTACAGCAGGAGAAGAAGAAGAGAAGAAGAAGAAGAAGAGAAGGAGGTCGATACACACCACACACACACACACACACACACACACACACACACACACACACACACACACACACACACACACACACACACACACACACACACACACACACATACACACACACACACACACACACACACACACACACACACACACACGTATATATAAACTTACAAACTTACAAACACACACTTCAGGAAATCCCGTAGGATCCGGGTGGATTAGTCCCTCTCCTCTAACTCTTCCTGTCCAGACTGGTGTGTGTGTGTGTGTGTGTGTGTGTGTGTGTGTGTGTGTGTGTGTGGACCATATCCTCATCCTGACCTTAACACACACTGACGCACACACACATAAAACACTGTAAAAGTCAGATGACAGATCAGAAGCATTAAGGTAATTGGTCGTTGACGACATTTTTCCTCATATTTCGTGTGTGAGTGTGTGTGTGCGCGCCTGTGTGTGTGTGTGTGTGTGTGTGTGTGTGTGTGTGTGTGTGCATGCATGTGTGTGTGTGTGTGTGAGTGTTGTCCGTATCCAAGCACATCTATCTTAATCATAACTTGTTTAGTACTAATAAAGTTTGAGATCAACAAGAGCAAATCCCTGATTTAACATGGATTTTGAAGAAAGGAACTTAAAGTGGACCTATCATGCTATATTTGAATAATATAGTGTAGGACCATACCTATATAAGGCATATTTATACTTTTTATTTTTCAAAATACCAAACAGATCATGCATTTTAGCCATGCCTCATTTTGCTCAATTAGAAAAATGTTAGCTCTGTTTTAGCAAGGGCTGATTCTGTGAGAACAGCACCATCTACTGGCCTGGCATATGTACTACAGCGTCTCCAGCGCTTTCGAACGGCAATGGCCGTGGCTGTCTCCTCCTGATTGGTGGAGTTGGCCCAATAGCCGTAGCGCCACTGTCCTGACGTCAGGACAGTGTTCAAATCTGGATCAGTTTTGATCAGATCCGTTGCAGCCCCTTTTTTAGAGATTTGGGTATGGAGGAAAATAGAGAGGGTTGTGTTTTCTGACACTTGGTGAGTTCCCTGGAACACCGGGGACACATATTCATGTATAAAAGACGTACAAAAGTGCATTTCGCATGATAGGTCCCCTTTAAGGAAACAATAACAAAGGAAGAAGGAAATGAGAAACAAGGAAATAAGAGAAGAAGGAAGAAGAGGGGAAGCACAAGAGAGGGTGAGGATACAAATAAATGAGGAAGGACAGGAGGAAATATAGGAAAAGAAGGAGGAAGGAGATGTGATTGAGGAGAATATGTAGAAGTAAAGGAGGAAATAGGGAAGGAAGAAAGGACATGAAAAGGTTAGGAAAAAGGGAAGATGAGGCTGAGGAGGAGTAGGATGCAAATATATAAAATAAAGGTTTAAATGTGAGGTTTTAAACATATACTCAGATCTTTTTAACACTGCAAACTGCTGAGAGAGATCACATAAGGTAGCTGGAAACACTCAGCATATATCAGGATGTCAGCGGTGCGTCTGTGATTTCTGATTGCACTTGAAGGCAGCATGTGCGGGGGTAAATAATGTAAAGGCGCTTCTGAAGGAATAAATTCCCCGTGGTTTCTTTGAGGCTGTTCTCATGAAGATTGCATTTTCCCAGCGATGAAAGTCTGTCACCGCTGCCTGACCCCGGGGAAACAGCAGGCGGTGGAAAAAAAAAGATCAGGAGACGACATCTCAACCTTTGATTCTGTTGCCTCTCATTTCAAAACATGGCGGCGTTTTGGTGACAAGTTTTTTTAAGCTTTTAGCTTCTACTTCTCCGCGGGGAAGAGACGAGCGACGGATGAAAGGAGGGAAGGAAACCATGCTGGGATCTGACACACACACACACAAACACACAACACACACACACACACACACACAACACACACACACACAC